AAATGTGGTGAAGAAAGCTGATGGAGCCCGGCTATCAAAAGATATAGCGCCTGGGGATCTTAAAGGCTTGAAGGTAAACAAGCGGCCATCTAGCTGAGAAGCAACAAATCCCACATGGAAGAAGCACACCAGCCTGTGTGATCACAAGGTGTTGAAGGGATCAGGTATCAGGCATCAAAGACCCAGAACAAAAAATCATGTCAATGTGAATGGGGGTGGGGTGAGTGCGGAGTAGAGGCCCAAAGCCAATCTGTAGGCAATTGGACATCCCCTTATAGAAGGGTCTTGGGGAGAAGACAGGCCAGTCAGGGTGCAGTATAGCACTGATGAAACATACAGCTTTCCTGTGGTTCATCAGTGATTCTTCACACCCACTATCATGACCCCAATTCTACCTTACACATCTGGTTAGACCAAAGCATGTACACTGGTACAGATAAAAGCTGGAAACACAGAGAACCCAAGGCAGATAAACCCCTCAGGACCAATATTCAGAGTGGCCACACCAGGAGGGGAAGGAGAAGGTGGTGGGGAGAAAGGTGGCACCAATCACAATGACATCATACAGGAATGGACAACAATAAGAGGGTAAAAGGAGACATTGGACAGTGCAAGACATGAAAAAATAATAATAATTTATAAATTATCAAGAGTCCATGAGGGAGGGAGGGGAAAATTAGCTGATACCAAGGGCTCAGGTACTAAGAAAATGTTTTGAGAATGATGATGGTGACAAATGTACAAAAGTGCTTGACACAATTGATGGATGTATGGATTGTGATAAGTTGTACATTGCAGTAAAAATTAAAAAGTTGTATAAGCCCCTGATAAAATGATTTTTAAAAGAAGAAAAAAAAAAACAAAAAACAGAGGAGCCAAAGAACCCATCTGCAGGTCATCCAGAAAGTTAAAAAGTAACCTGGGTACTTTCGTCACTGGTTGGATGAGTCTGAACCTGATGTGTTGCAAACATGGCCTACGGCTGACAGGAGCACAGCAGTTAAGGACACAGCTTTCTCCTTGGGCCTGTTGGCAAGGGCCTGGCCTGACGCCACACAGAAGGTCCCCAGGCAGTGGTCTTAACCCTCGATGTCCCCAAGCCAGGGCAGCTGTAGAGGGAGTATGGCCCATAAAATAAAGCTATTGGTTTGAGGTTCCTGTGCCCCTGGTCCATCTAAGAGAAGAGTATAGACAAGTCAGCTGGGCCAGTGGGAGGGCTGCAGGCCAGAGCACTCAGAGGGTCACGAGTTCTGACTCTCTAACCTCCTTCACACTAAACCCAGAGATTGAGTTGGACCCATCCGCCACCTCAGGGTCCTCCAACTCCATTCTTGGTGCCTCTTTCTTTGGGATCGTCATTGTTGGTAGATGCCAACTCTACACCCACCTCATCGTTGTTGCCACATTTGGGCCCATTCTTGGCTATGTGGGAGCCCGTTGTCACCACCGTCGTCAATCCATCTCATTGGGGGGAGGGGTCTTCCTCTTTTTCACGGACCCTTCCCTCTTGCTGGGCGCTCCTGATAACATGCCTAAAACACGTGGTATGTCAGGGGTGGGGAACGGGGGCGGGGAGGGAGCTGGAGAACTGACTGTGACTGCACAGCTCATTTTAAAGGCCATTTAACCGGGGGGAGGGGGTGTTCTGAAATTGACACGGCAATGATTGTACAGTTCTCCTTGATATGACTGAACAATTGGGGTGTATGCTCTGTAAATTGTGTGCCCATAAAACTGTTTTAAAAAAAGTACGTGAGATGAACTCTTGCCACAATCACGTCTAAGGAACCTGCTGGTTACACTTCTTCCAAGGCAGATTTGTCCATTCTTCTGGACAGCCCACGGCACGTTGAATATCCCTTTGATGGTCAGTGCCATCAAGTCGATGCTGGCACACAGTGACCCCTAGGACAGGGTAAAGCTGCCCCTGTGGGTTTCCGAGATGGTCCCTTTATGGGAGGAGAAAGTCACACCTTTCTCCCGTGGAGCCGTTGGTAGTTTTGAACTACTGACCTTGCAAATCAAATCCCGGTGAGTTGATTACTACGCCACCAGGGCTCCTTGGGACACTGAAATTAGGCTTTTACTAGACATGCACTGTGAGTGTGTATCTGTGTATGCAGAGCTGGGAGCAAGCATGGTTGCGATGTGGCTCTGCCCCTCAGCAAGCAGTTTGAGGGATGAGAAGTGAAGACTGACTGTAGGGGGGGACAGGAGAGGACAGGACGGGGAGGGGGAGCAGGGAGCCAACAAACTCAGGGATGTGGGAACAACAAGAGATCTGAAGATGATGGTGAGGAGGCCTGGTGGGGTTTGATCAAGTGCAATGTATCCGAGAGGAATGACTGCCGAGTGGAGGGTGAGCATGCTAGTGGGACAGGAGGAAGGTGAAAGGAAATAGAGGAAAGAACTAGGAGACAAAATCTATTTATAGAAGTATAGCGCGACAGACTCGGCTCGCGGCAACCGGTTTCAAAAAGGAAACCCCGGAGAGCGCCAGCGAAATCTGGCTGTGGACGCGTGCGCTCCCGATAGGGTCACGATGGATCGGAACCAACTCCATGACACCTAGCAGTAACTCTCACTCACTGCCATCAAGTTGATGCCAGCCCATAGTGACCCTGTAGGACAGGTTAGAACTGCCCTGTTGCTGAAACCCAGAAACTGAATCTCATACTGTAAGATGCCTTTGGAAAATTACTGAATTCTCTAAGATGAATCTTTAGAACATGATTGTTCATCCAGCCTGTTCTATCCAGACAGACTTGCGGAGACAACAGCATGCACAAGGACAAGACCTAGCAAGGCGAAGCAACAATGTACAACAAAACAGCAACATCACACCACTGACAAAGAACAAATTGAAATATACCAAGAAAGAAAAGCTTGTGTTTTCCAGTCTAAAAAAAAAGAAGTACAGCGATAGGCAAGTGTATATGTAAATATGTTAATTTAAAATGAAAGGGATAGAGGTCAATATACTTGTATGTTAAGTATCAAGATAGCAGATGGACTTTGGGCCTCTACTCCCGAAACCCAAGAACACTTTGTTCTAACAACCTGGCACTCTTTGATACTCACCTTCCAGACACGATTGCTGAAGACAAACGGGTGCATAACCAAGTGTGGTGAAGAGAGCGGATGGTGCCCGGCTATCAAAAGATAAGGCATCTGGGGTCTTAAAGGCTTGAAATTAAACAACTGGTCATCTAGCAGGGAAGCAACAAAGCCCACATGGAAGAAGCACACCAGCCTGTGGGATCATGAGGTGTCGACAGGATCAGGTATTAGGTATTAAAAGATCCAAAACAAACAATTATAGCGATGTGAATGAGGGGGTTTGGAGTGGAGACCCAAAGCCCATCTGTAGACAATTGAATATCCCCCACAGAAGAGTTACAAGGAAGGGACAATTCAACCAGGGTGCAGTATAGCAC